TTTCACAGCAATCAGTAGCTCCGAGATGGCTTCCCATTTCAGTCCCTATGACCTCAACGTCTGGAGCTGTACTCGAGGAGCATGGTGGACTACCACCTCATCATGGACCTGGTTCCAACAGTAGCACGCATGTTTTTCCTCAAGCAGCTCGGTGACTTCTCCCCAGCCGCGCAGTGTGTACGTTTTTCCCTGTCGGTTTGCGTCTTCAAGTTTTGAACTTAGTTTTATTGTCAAGCTTGTAACCGCCTCTTTTCTCTTTTAGGCGTTACTGCTGGGGGTTGGGTTGCAGCACAAATCAGTGGACCAGCTAGAAAAGGAAATTGAGCTCCCAAGCTCGCAGCTCATGGGCCTTTTCAACCGTCTGATCCGGAAACTTGTGCAAGTAAGTCCTGTCTTGAATTCAAATGATATGCAATCAAACGTTAAAAAGAAAATCTGCAAAAATATGAATATTTCCTAATTCCTAATGTGGCCTTTACTCTCCCAGGTCTTCACCAGCATCCAAGAAAAAGCTATTGAAGCAGAGATGGCCACTACCAAGATGTTTCCATGGAGCCGACTGTTAAAAGCCTTAACGATGATCTGGTACATGTGTTTGATTTGAATTTTGAAATTGCTCGTTTTTAGCTCTCAGGTTGTTTTGGTTTTCTGTTGCTGTTGTATATGAAGCATTTTTCTTATAAAAACTGTTATTCCAGAAAAAGTTGATTTATTTTTTCTCAAAAATATTTAATAAACATATTAATCAATGGTGGAAAAGGGTAGTTTGCATCCCCCTTTTTTAAAGATTTTTTATTTTGGCCATTTTGTGCTTTTATTGGAGAGATAGGACAGTGGATAGAGTCGGAAATCAGGGAGAAAGAGAGTAGGGAATGACATGCGGGAAAGGAGCCACAGATCGGATTCGAACGCCGGGCAGCCTGCTTGGAGGACTACAGCCTCCATACATGGCGCGCTCTAACCACCGCGCCACCAGCGCCCAACATCCCCTTTTTTTGAGGGCAGAAATTTGAAGAATGTTTTGTTTTTTTTTTACTTACAGACTGAAGCTGCAAAGGAGTTTGAGGAAAGACACAAGCAGGATGTTGAGAAAGTGAAGGAAATGGACCTGGAGGAGTGAGTATGAGGCCTCGGGAAAGCCTCTTGAATATATTACCGTATTTTTTCGCACTATAAGGCGCACCGGATTATAAGGCGCACCTTCAATGAATGGCCTATTTTAGAACTGTTTTCATATATAGAGCGCACCGGATTATAAGGCGCATAGAATAGAAGATACTGCAGTCAAACGTTTGACTGGGGTTGCGTTATGCATCCACTAGATGGAGCTGTGCTAAAGGGAATGTCAACAAAAGTCAGATAAAGTCAAACTTTATTAAGCGTTCTGACAACTCCGTTCACTCCCATGGTAACGATGTTCAAATGTTAATGTGCATATTCACAATATCTCCCAGCCTTGTTCAGTTGTAAACGTAAAAGAAACACAGTCTGATACCGCTAATTCAAACGTTAGTGCATAACTCAACATTGTTCAGTTACGTATAACACGTAAAGCTCACTTTTTCAGTTCATTCCCCGTCCACGAATCCCTCGAATTCTTCTTCTTCAGTGTCCGAATTGAACAGTTGGGCGAGTACGGCATCCAACATGCCCGCTCCCTCTCGTCATTATCCGAGTCAGTGTCGCTGAGCGCCGTGTACAACCAGTATGGATCAACCAATTAACCAATTGATCCATATATAAGGCGCTCCGGATTATAAGGCGCACTGTCGTTTTTTTTTTTAGAAAATTAAAGGCTTTTAAGTGCGCCTTATAGTGCGGAAAATACGGTATTTACATGGATCTAAATGTACATGGGAGTTTTTACTGTATTAGCAATGATTTGATTTGTGTGTGTGTACAGGTACAAGATCCGTGGGGACGATGAGGAATGGGACCAGGTGTTGAAGAAAGCAGGAGGCACGGCTATCGTCAGCATCAAGAGGTGCAGTGACAGCCAGGATCTTTTCAGTTGTGTGTAGTGTGTGTGTGGTTGTTTGGTCAATGCAGAGTATTATAACAGAGTGTTTTATCGCACACAGTGATAAGAAGAGGAAGTATGAAGGGGGAAATGCCAACCCACAATGGGACTCCCAACAGGGGAAACTAAAAAAGAAGGAAATGCAACATGGGAAGTTCAAGAAGAACAAGGCCAACATGGAAAGTTTGGAAAGAAAGTGCGACAGTAACCGTGCTGCTTGTACTGGACAGCGTGTGTGTGCACGAAGAAGCATCCACATGATCCCTTTGGATATCTTAGATGGACTTGCTAAAGATCACCCAAAAGACTGGCTTAAGATGTTTATTCTCATAGCTGTTTTTTAATTATACCAAGGTTTCTATTACGTTTGTTGGTTTGATTTATGACATCATTTAACAGCAGAAAATAACACACTTATTGTACTATAGTGGTATCTTTTACTTTCAAGTATTACATACATTTTAGACTTCCCTTTTTAGTTGATGTAACAATTTCTACAAAGACTTGTAAAAAAGTTAATGGAAATATTTTTGTAAACTATTATTTGAGGTAAATATCTGGCTTTAGGTGTCACTGGACGGGTTCACTGTTCACTTGAACACCTGAGGCTTTAGATCAATCCACTTCTGTCTGAGCTGCTGTTTCACGTCGTCCGGTGCAAAGATACAGTCAATGGCCTGCTGGGACAGTGTCCATACAGCTTCACGACTGAGACCGAACGTGGAGGCTGCCAGCTGATATTCCTGAGACAAGTCTGTAGAGAAGACTCCTTTATCGTCAGTCTGTAATGTGACAGAATAAAAATCATTCATGGGAACTCTGCTGTAATTATACCTGTCATAGAATCAAGTTATATTCAGTAACACAATGGGAGATACTACTACTTCATACAAAAAGTCAGGTCATTTCATCCTCTGCCGCATAAATATTGATAATTAAAAAAAAACTTTCAAGCCAAACTAATAAAACTGCAACATTAAAACAGCTGTAGCTCCCCTTTTAAAAAGCCAATACACAAAAAATAAAGACTTAATGTTTACTTTCAGAACTTTACACTTTCATGTTTTGCACAAGTTGTGTACCAAGAAATCTCCGCTAACTTGCATAGTCTGGTTATTTCTCGGCACATGTTTTGTGGCTATTTGAAAAGTTTGGTTGAATGAAAAGGTGTCAGTCGATGCTGTTTTATATTGATCGAAGAAAGGCAGCCATAAAGTTAAACTTTGCTACCAGTCCTGAAGCTGGCGTTAGTTGTCATATTGGTGTATACTGTCTGAACATTTTAAAGATACAAAAAGTGCAAATACTTACACAAATGACACTCGGATGTTGTAAAAGGTACCAGTATTTGAAGTGATGTTCAGCGTAGCAGGGTACAGTCTGTCCCTTGATGTTTGAGGTCAGGCATAACTCTACAAGAAAACAAGGTGAGAAATTACAACCCGGACACTGGTCAGTGCACAACACAGAAAACGAAGACTAATGTAATCTCAGTCTTACCCAGAGGTATGTTGTTCTTTAGCACTTTATCAACAAGACGTTGGGATCCACCCACTTGTGGATGCAAGAAGGTGCCGTGACCGATCCTGTCCGGAGGAAGATCCAACAGCAGGTCTGTCTCCTCCAGCTGTGATGCTACCTGCAGCAGATGTGCTGATGTCAGAGCACTCATGGGGAATGTAACTACAGGTAACACTAAATGTGTTGTGGTCTTACTTCTGAGAGGTGCAGTGACAGCTTCAGTCCACAGTTCTTTGCCCTCTGCAGAGCAGGAAGCAGGTCTTTGCCATGGCCAACCTGAATACAAAACGACACTAATGAACATTCATGTTGGATTAAAAAACCAATAACAAAGCTCCCATCATGAGAAACATTTATTTATGACCCAACTGAATGACTATTAACAAGGTTTTGATATCATTTTCTGGTGTTCTGAGGCTTACATTTACAGTAAGTATCTTTCAGTGTTTTTCAATAATTAGTGCAGTTTTTCTTTTCTAGAAGCCCCAGACTCTCCGACTGACCCTTGGATCTCCACTGAGGTCGAGTCCCACCACCAAACCATCAGAGTGCAGCATGAACTCCTCGGCCAGCTTCACCGTCTCAACGGCGACCTCAGTCCCATTTCTGCGGTCAATTGCTACCAGAAACCTACAAGACAAAGGGGCACATAAACCTGCACCACTGTTTCTAATTACATTATAACCATAGTAAAGTATTGTGATATTATTTGTATTTTTTTTTTTTGGGGGGGGGGGGGGGGGTTAACAGTTAATGCTAGATGCCTACCTCACATCGATGTCTAACCCATCATTCTTAGACTGTTGGATGGCTTTTATGACAGTTTCAATGTATCTCTTTTTTGTTAATCCTAGGGAAAAAAGAGAGAAAACGGTCAAGACTATGGTGAGGTAAATCCTTTCTAAGTGTGTATCACGCCATCATTATGCCCATTGTTTACATAATGCGGCGGCTGTGGCTCAGTTGGTAGAGTCGTCACCTCTCAACCGGAAAGGTCGAGGGTTCAATCCCCAGCTGGGCAACGTGTCCGACGTGTGCTTGGGCAAGACCCTGAATTGCTCCTGCTGCTTCAGTGGTGATGTATGAATGTGATTAGATACTTCTGATGGATGATACTACATAGCGATCACTACCATCAGTGGGTGAGGTGAAATTGGGTGGGTGTGACATGTGGTGTAAAAGCACTTTGAGTAGCCGGAAGACTAGAAAAGCGCTATAGAAGCTCAAGTCCATTTACCAATTTACACTGACATCCTTACCTGTGCTTTTGTCCTCCCTTGGTGTACTTCTCAGCTCTAGATATTTGACACCATCAGCCGCAAACTCCCTGATAACATCTGTAGCCACCTAGAAAGTAAACAAAGTAACGACCTGTCGCTGATAATCTGTGGAAAAATAAATGCATCACTTAGTTTTGAATGAACAACCGACCACTACCATTAGGATGTCCTCCTCGGTGTCCACCAGCTGATGTATGATCTTGAAGACTTGAAAACATCTGCGGACAAAGGTGTGACAAAAGTCAAAAGGTTTTAAAGGATAAATTGCTTGACATTTATCCCAAATTAAATATCTACACGTAGCCTACATCAGCTTGTAATGTTAGACGTCATAAAGGAAGTAAATGGGTGATTTAAAATGGTTTATTCCTGAAGTAAAACTCACTCATCCAGGGTCCTCCGCTGTCCTTTGCCGATGACCGTCATGTCGTGTTCAATGTCGAGATGCGGCTTTCTGCTGATCAGTTTCTCGATGGTTTGACTGCTGACAGAGCCATTGAGGTGAGCGTGAAGCTCCTGGTCACAGGTGAGACGCTTATGTTAGCATGCAGCGAGCAAAAAACGTTGTCTTTGACTCTATTTAAACTCAGGAAAACTCCCTTTTTCATCGACATCGTGACCCGGACATGTTTGGTTAAACTCACCACTTTTGGCAGCTCCCGATAAAAGACATCAGCTTCTTTTTCCATCACAAAGTAAAACCTCAAAAGCTGAGATAACGATTAGCCTTCGAGTCGCCGAGTTGACATCTGTCAGCCACACAAGCCTTTGTTTTCAGGTTTCATTTTCCTGTAGCACTACCGAGTGCAACCTAGATATAGTCCCCCATTCCTTTTCCCCCCTCATAAAGGTTCCGCTACTTCCACTTTCTGAACATTGTTGCAATTCACTTCTTCTGGAGTAACAAAATAAAAAAGTTTTTACACTTGTTATTGACACGATACAGGCATTGGTTCATGTATTCTAATAAATACATGTATTTGTAAATCGTAATGTAAATATCTATAAAATTGTGCAATTAGTATGTAATATGAGCAATTTTGAAGTAGCTTTTTACACACTTAATTGGGATAAAATATTATTACTTTCTTGAGTATTATATTGCAAATGCTTAAACAACTTTTAAATAAAAAGGGATTTATAAAACAGAGACTATAACAAAGCAAAATGTTATTATTTTATTTATTAAAAAATAGAAATAAGGTCAATTTAATAACATTCTCTTTATTTCAATACGTACAAAATCCTGACATTTTGGTCGAATCCAAACATTCCTACAATGAAACATTTATTGATGTTGGATGGCATACATCGTGCATATGCATTGACTACGTACTGGGGTGGCGTGTTTGCATCATCAGTAGTAAACTTGTCTAAACTTGTGCTTCGAGTTTGGCAACAAGAGGAATAAAAAGTAGGCATAAAACATTTCAAATGATAAAACAATCAAAAAAAAAATAGAGCTGCATAATTAAAGATATTTTAACTTAGTCATTTAAAAAAAAAAAATTCAACATTCATGTACAATGGTGTACCTGGAAACACTCAAAAATAATACAGCGGGTATATTCCATATCAAAGTTGTATTCCTGCTAGTGAAGGGTCTCTCCTTTTTCAAACAGATGTAATGGATCAAGTAAAGTCAGTCGAATGCAAAAAGTGTCTACATTTTCATAAAACAAAAGATGGCATCAAAATGACAAAGGATATCACTTACAGGGTATAAAAGGTTAAGGCACTGTGACACTAAGGCAGCACAATGTTTTCAGAAAAGATTCTCAATGTGACAGTTAATTATTCACTCTTGATAACCGTACACAGGAAAACGGGGCAAGTTGGTTCACTGAACTTTGAACAACTTGTGTTGAGGGACGAAGCTCAGAAACATAACTGTCGACAGTTCATGAGCAATATTCAAAAGTTAAGTTTTAGATTTTTGCCAAATAATTTAGCCTAACGTCTTTTGAGTTAACCCCAGGTTATTGTCCGGGTAGCCTAAATGAAGGAGGAAGAAAGTCAGTTTGGTGTCTGTTTCTCACAAATCTCTCAATGTTTTTTTCCCATCCCTTGGTTGATATGTTGAAGCCACTCCTTCAACATCTGAAAGCTTGGCCGACCAGCAGGATCCAGGTTCCAGCACTGTTTCATGATGTTATACACCACTTCAGGACAGCCGTCTGGACAGTCCATTTTGTATCCCTTCTCCACTCGTGGCACAACGTCTTTTAAAGGCTACAGATGGACAGAAGACAACAGATGTTCATAGGTCAGGGTGACAGGACATAATTTCTTATGGGTTAAGAGTGGAAAGGTGTTACTTTTTGATCCTCGTCTAAAACTAAAGCTCTAAATCTTTATTCATAGTTTATGTAGAAAAAAAAAAGTGATACTTACAATTCTCGGGTAAGGCACTCGACCAAAAGAGTAAATCTCCCAAAGCAATATACCGTAGCTCCAAACGTCTGATTTGGTGGAAAATTTCTTTGGGTAA